ACTAACCAGGAAGACACTCGCCGTTTTCAGAAAACCGTGGCTCAGTCAAAGAGTAAGACGGTCTCGAAAAAGTCCCCTTACACGGTCTCCATTGTCAGACAAGTCGCGGCTTGTGTGCAGCGAGAATTTTGGCTCCTGTGGGGAGACAAGACCTCCCTGTACACCAAATACTTCATTATTATCTCGAACGGTCTTATCGTCTCTTCTTTGTTCTATGGTGAATCATTGGATTCTAGCGGAGCTTTCTCGCGTGGTGGTGCCCTGTTCTTTTCGATTTTGTTCCTCGGTTGGCTGCAGCTGACAGAACTGATGCCTGCGGTTTCCGGGCGTGGTATCGTCGCACGCCATAAGGATTATGCCTTCTACCGTCCGTCTGCCGTGGCAATTGCCCGAGTTGTGGTCGATTTCCCGGCCATCTTCTGCATGGTTGTGCCGTTCACCATCATCGTCTATTTCATGGCAGGGCTCGATGTGGATGTCTCCAAGTTCTTTATTTACTTCTTGTTTGTGTACACGACGACGTTCTGTATCACATCCCTGTACCGCATGTTCGCAGCTCTATCTCCGACTATCGACGATGCCGTTAGATTCGCTGGTATTGCTCTAAACGTGTTGATTCTGTTCGTTGGTTATGTCATTCCCAAGCAAGGACTCATTGATGGCTCGATCTGGTTCGGTTGGTTGTTCTACGTGAACCCGCTTTCGTACAGTTATGAGGCGGTCCTTACGAACGAATTTTCGAACCGACTTATGCCCTGTGCTCCCTCGCAGCTCGTGCCTCAAGGCCCAGGTGTGGACCCAAGATACCAAGGTTGTGCTCTCACGGGGTCCGAGCTCGGTAAGGCAGACGTTGCAGGAAGCCGGTATCTTGAGGAAAGTTTCCAATTGTAAGTGCCCCTTGTTCGTTACTATCTCTATATCAACACACTCACATATCATAGCACCCGGCACCATTTGTGGCGCAATTTTGGTGTGGTCATTGCTTTCACGGTCCTGTACCTCCTTGTCACTGTCATAGCTGCTGAAGTTCTGTCATTTGTCGGAGGCGGCGGTGGCGCGTTGGTCTTCAAGAAGTCCAAGCGTTCCACGAAACTCAGAGCGCAAAACGGCAGAGGTAACGATGAAGAGCAAGTCCAAAATAGAGGGGATAATGCGGCATTGTCACGTGGAGAAGCGAAGTCTGCTAGCAACGGCGAATCTATGCAGCGCCTTTCTGCTAGCGATCGAATTTTCACCTGGTCGAATGTAGAATACACGGTGCCATACGGAAATGGGACAAGGAAACTCCTCAACGGCGTTAACGGTTATGCGAAGCCCGGTCTGATGATCGCTTTGATGGGTGCTTCCGGAGCAGGCAAGACCACTCTACTCAACACCTTAGCTCAGCGTCAGAAGATGGGTGTGGTCACCGGCGACATGCTTGTTGACGGTCATCCTCTCGGTACCGATTTCCAGAGAGGTACTGGTTTCTGTGAACAAATGGATCTCCATGACAATACCGCGACCATTCGGGAGGCCCTTGAGTTCTCGGCACTTCTTCGTCAGGACAGGGACACCCCACGTCAAGAAAAGCTTGACTATGTTAACCAGATTATCGACCTACTGGAGTTGGAGGATATCCAGGACGCTATCATTGGTTCTCTTAATGTTGAACAGAAGAAGAGAGTGACTATCGGTGTCGAGCTAGCTGCGAAACCCAGTCTTCTCCTATTCCTTGACGAGCCCACCAGTGGTCTGGACAGTCAGGCAGCCTTCTCAATCGTGAGATTCCTGAAGAAGCTCTCCCAGGCGGGACAGGCCATTGTGTGCACAATTCACCAGCCGTCATCCATGCTGATTCAGCAGTTCGACATGGTCTTAGCCCTTAACCCTGGCGGAAACACTTTCTATTTCGGCCCTATTGGCCCCGAAGGTCGCGATGTGATTAAGTATTTCTCTGACCGCGGCGTCGTCTGCCCACCATCGAAGAATGTCGCAGAGTTTATCCTCGAAACAGCAGCGAAGGCGACTAAGAAGGATGGTAGATCCATTGATTGGAATGAAGAGTGGCGCAACTCTGAAGAGAGCCGCCGCATTCTGGACGAAATTCAGCAGATTAGGGAAGAACGTAGCAAGATTCCAGTTGCCGAGAAGGGCGTCGAATACGAGTTTGCTGCTCCTACGTGGACGCAGACTGTCCTACTGACCGAAAGGCTCTTCAGACAGTACTGGAGAGATCCATCGTACTATTATGGAAAGCTCTTCGTCAGTGTCATCATTGGTATTTTCAACGGATTCGTAAGTATCTTCCGATCTCTCAGAATTTGAGCATTACTGACTAGGGCAGACCTTCTGGATGCTCGACAACTCCATCAGTAGCATGCAAAATCGCATGTTCTCCATCTTCTTGATCATTCTTATCCCTCCCATTGTCCTGAACAGTATCGTCCCCAAGTTCTATATCAACCGCGCCCTTTGGGAAGCTCGTGAATATCCTAGCCGTATCTACGGATGGTTCGCCTTCTGCACGGCAAACGTCGTTTGTGAGATTCCGATGGCAATCGTTTCCGCCTTGATCTATTGGCTGCTCTGGTACTACCCAGTCGGCTTCCCCACGGACTCGAGCAGCGCTGGATACGTCTTCCTTATGTCGATGCTTTTCTTCCTCTTCCAGGCCAGCTGGGGTCAATGGATTTGTGCCTTCGCCCCGTCGTTCACCGTGATTTCCAACGTACGTTCCTATTTGCCATGACCCAATCCGATTTACCATACTAACATCCCTACCCAGGTCCTTCCCTTCTTCTTTGTCATGGTCAATCTGTTCAACGGTATCGTTCGTCCATACAAAGACTACCCAGTCTTCTGGAAATACTGGATGTACTACGTCAACCCGGTGACCTGGTGGCTCCGAGGCGTGATCTCAAGCGTTTTCCCCTCTGTCCACATCGAATGTGCCTCGAAGGAAGCCACCCACTTCAATCCTCCCCCAGGCTCCACCTGCCAACAGTACGCAGGAAACTTCGTCTCCAATATCGCTGGAGTGGGATACTTGGTCAACCCGAACGCCACGGAAGACTGCCAATACTGCCCCTTCGCTAACGGCACGGAATACATGAACACGCTTAACGTCCACGATGGCGATAAGTGGCGGTGCTTTGGTATCTTCCTGGCCTTTGTGATTATCAACTGGGCGTTGGTTTATTTCTTCATCTACACTGTCCGCGTCCGGGGATGGTCCTTCGGAATGGGATACCTCTTCGGCGGACTCGGTATGATCATTGATGGTGTGAAAAAGGTCTTCTCCAAGAAGTCCGAAAAGGAACAGAATTAGATGGTGGTTGGTGTTCTAGTTCTGGTTGGTGTGTTCAACTTTCTATCGATAAATTCGAAACGGAAGAAAAGCAGCAACAAGCAAACATGGCAGGAGAAAGGGATAAATAAATAGAGGAGGATAAAGAGATTCTATATGGAATATAAATGATATCCCGCGGAGATAGATATAGAAAAAGCATTTTGTTCATAGACAGCGTTAATATAATCTTTGCATATATGTCAACTCTTCCGCGCTGAATTTAATAATCACTAGTAACATAGTATGAATATCTCGCAAGATCATATACTTCATATCTTAGATAGACATTCACAGCCTTGATCCATGTAGATATAATACAACACAAGAATTTTATTACCTTGTAATCAAAAAAGGTCGCCGACTATTCCGGCCCAGGCACTTTTTGCCCTGAACCTGTCAACCATACATTATATTTGAGTTAAACAATAGCCATTTCCTCCCTAAAAATACGGAGACACCTCTCGAAGCCTTTCCACGCAATTCAAACACCCAACATACAACTTGCCCTGTAGAAGACCTAAAACCTCCGCCCTCACGCACACACCGCAGTAAGCCGCAAAGTATCAATATTGCACACACGGTTCCCTATGTTAGCACACTATTCCAGATTAGCCCCGACGTCCTCACCACCAAAAAGAACCTTGCAAATTAGTAGTCCCTTCCTACCGGATTCATCGCATTACAAGGAGCCGTCCAGTCATTCCCATTGGCATCCGTGGCCTGACATGTGCCATACGTGCCGTGCGTGGTGCATATCTTCAGGCATGCAGTGTTAGTTACAGGACAAAATGCTTTCGGGGCTGTATTTGCCGTACGCCTTCGACATATCTTTCCTCCTGGCGTGTTTTGCCCTGCGTGTTGCCACTCCCTTCGATACGAAGGCCGCTTGCGCTGACCCTTCTACCGCCTGTACTTGGAACTCCTGCACCGGTCCCAACTCCGGCCCCAGTGCTGCTGCTGCTGCCACCACCACCACCACCACCACCACCACTGTAATCAGGGTTAGATGTACCGGGTGGAACGGCGCCTGTGGTCCTGGCGTAGAGAATGGCAAAGATAAATGTAGAAATAATACTAGTCTTCATACTGGGCGACGTACTGTACACTGGCTCCGAGAGGGATAGGAAAAAAAATAAGAATACAATGGATATCGCACGGCTTGAAGTATTCACTCGTGTGGGGTATGGCAAATAAATAGCCATTAGCATTGTGAGACCGATTGCCCATTCCCCTTTGCCCTCCCCGTTAATGTGTTAGTTTGTTCATGGAATTGCGTGGCTTCGGGGGCTACATGGGGCAACCTGAGAGTCTTGTGTCGCTTTATTTAGGCTTGCATGTTTCGTTTCCGTTTCTACTGTATGGTTCGTTCTGCCCCGTGGGCTAGGGACATCGAAGAATACCGCCGAAAGTCCAGAGGATATGATAATATATAGTATATGAGTTCGAGACAATGGAATCTTGTTTAAATGAAAGTGTGCCTGATGACCGGAAGGGGTCAGTCTGCCTCTTTGTTGCTGGAACGGGAAGCTATCCTACCTCATATTAAAAGAACGGCGAGCCGTTGCCCCGGCCACTTTGAACGGACCACTCTTTGTTGAAGACCCACCTTGCTCATCGTGCCAATTACTCGGAAGGCTTTGGGTAAGAGTCGTAGGAGAAAGCCCGGTTCCGTCTCGAAGTATGTATTAAACCAGATATTTAGTGTGACTATCTAAAATCAGGACCAATTGGTAGAGTGCAGTTGCAACATAAACCCCAATCTGAATCACATTCCACTTTCTGAATTGAACCAAGGCTTGCGGTTTGGCCCGTACTGAGGTGCTGGGAGACGCATCGGTACAGGCACAATGCCTTCGAAGATATCCAACATAGTCCCAGATTCATCGTTCGGGGATCGGTTCTGCTCCGACACGACATCCCCTCTACTAATGACAGGTATGAGCACACCGCACTCCCAGTTGCGACAGTTGAGTTTCGGTTCCTTTGTTGCCCGCTCCTGAACGAGACGGCCCCTGTTCATTGTAAGTTTCCCGAATAGCAAAGCACAATCAAAGGGTGAGGATGAGGATGATATGAGATCACTCACCAAGCACTCTCTGAAAGATTTGCACTTCCCACGTAGGCCCAGGCTCGACATTGAGAGTTATCAGGTAGCGTCGCTGGGTCATCTGGTCTTACGTAGAGAATCTAGAACATCTTAGCAGAAGCTCGGTGTGCTCTTCCGCTTTCCTCAAAAGCACAGCAACTTACTTTATTATGCATCAGTAGTCCAGGCCTCTGACTTACACAGTCGCGTAGAACCTGACGAGGGAATTTCGGGCCCGTATACCACCTTGACTGAAAGCAAATGGTGCCTGCGGATTGTGGCCCACCTTTTGTGTCATTAACTGTTGTCTCTGAGGGGAAGTAGACTCTGAATCTATCCTTCCACTCTTCGGCAGTCGACTTATCAATGAGCTGTGTAGGGTTGCTGCGGCTCCGGGCAGGGAAGGATTTTGTGGTGCGAAGGACGTATTCTGTCGACCCATCGTCGCCTGTGTACAGAGTTAACCTGTGGTTCGTTTATGAGGGGGTGTCGCACTTAATTACTGCTTACCTTGACATGCAAGATATATGGACCTCAAGAACTCATCCGTCAACGAACCAATGGATGACGCCTATTATATATCAGGATGTGCTCTGTGGGCTGGTACAAATGTAAACTCACAACGAAATCGACATTGAGAGGCTTAGATGTTCGCAAACCAAGAGAGTCCACTGCACGACCCAAGCCGCAGTACCCTGTACGCCGCCACGAATCTCCTGTATGCGAGCCACCTCTGGATGAAATCAGAGATCGGGTCATGCTGTCAGCGTAAAGGAGCTTACATAGTGTGGACAAATGCAACATGCGCAGTTTTACTGAAGTCATAGTCGGAGAGTTTGGCGATAATATTCTCGTGCAAAGTGCTGGCTTTTAGAAAGTAAGTCAACTCGTCGTAGAAGGCTGTTTGTGGAAACTCAAAGTCTTTATCGCTCCTTTTTGGCAGATCAATAAGGAAAACACTCTAAGTTATGGTTAGCCGGTAGCAGATTAGGAATGTCAGATCATGCGGTACATTTTCCATAAGACCACCTATTTCACCCCAGTCATACGGGGTCAGGTTGGCAGTGGGGACCACAATTCGAAGGTATTCTGAGTGGAACAGTAGCATCAATTTTGAATGCATGCAATTCACTTGGCCATCCATCGGTGGAAAGCATAGTCTAAGGTTGCTCATAGCAGCGGTTTCGGACTGGTACTGAAGTTTCTAGAACCACAAGGTGGTTAACTTCACGTTCCAAAAGGGTGAACACCAAGGCAAGAAAATAAGGACCAGCAATTGGCATGATTTAGGGCCCAGCTAGACAACAACTACATGGATAATGTTGAATGAAACTTACCGTAGATTCATCCTTGGCTTGCATTACCAAGTAGAATCGGGTTTTTGCTGTATTCAATTTTGAGAAAAGCCATTCCATTTCCCACATAAACGAGCTGAGAACAGCAAGATGTAAGTCAGATTTCTGAAGTACTTCTTCAATCTTGATATCATCACCCTGCCGGGGGCAACCAAAGGCCCATGATTTCTTAACGACCCCGTTGGGAAACTGAACCGACGGGGTCGGAGATGGGATCTGTACTGGTTGATTATCTCCTGCTGGCGTTGTACGTGAGGAATTTGATCCAGACGATGTGTCGACCACTGATATAACAGGACCGGAAGATCTTGGAGGTGTTCCAGTTCTCGCATGCTTTGCATCCCGCTGGTCATCCGATACGGGTTCTTCAGCCTTTCTCTTGTTCAGTCGCGCCAGGCGCTCTTTCTCCATCTGCCTTCGATCCATGCCCAATAAGCCAGCTGTTTGTGACGGCGCCTGTGTGCTGTCTGGGGCTTCAGCTCTACTGGACAAAGGGGTGTTAGAAGCCTTGCTGTCATTGTTGTCAGCAGATGGCAAGTGATGTCTCGAAGAGCCATGTTCATCTTCTATGGCGCCTTGCATAGACAATTCGATCGCCTTTTTAAGGTCTTCATCTTCGTCGTCGTCATCTTCCTCGCCCGAATCGGTTTCATCTCCATCAGTCTCGGAACCAATGACGGAGTTTGACTTGGGAAATATGGGTATCACGTCATCATCAGAATCTGCAGTCAAGTCAACAACTTCATGTTGACGCCCATTATGGCTGCTGTCTTCATGACTACTGAAATCCCTGAGAGAGGCAGCGATTGCAGCCCTCAGATCAGGGTCATCTAGATCGTCGGGATTCATTTTAGATCATTAAATACTCCAAGTGAGGTATTAGGCAGCAAAGTGGAGTTGGATCTGAGACAGAAAAAAGGGGAATGGCAACTCGAGGGGGGTAATTATGTGGTTAGTAGAGACTCATGCTTTGACAAGGACATCGAGGGAGGTTTATGGTGATACGGAACACAAAGGAGTTGTGTTGACGGTAAGACGTCACGGGGGGTATTTGGTTGTCCCGATGGATGATTCCTCAACAAAGTGGGAATCAATGACCTCAAAGCTAAACGTAACACCGAAAGAGAAGATAGAAAGACATTCAACAAACGTGGAGGGCAGTGAAAGAACAGTCAAGTCATGCAAAGCAGAAGACAACAAGAAACATGAGAGACCTGGTCCAATGATATTCAATCTCCCCGGCAACACGTGACTGCGAGGATATTATCAGTATGAATGTACTTTTGTTGTCTATAGTCTGGACAATGAACGAAGGCATCATGGTATTTAATATTTGATTTCAAGTCCCTCGAAAGAGTGTCAGCTACTGTCTTAGTATCCTGCTCAGGTGTATTACGTAGAGAGACCGTACAAGCTTCACGGAAAACAAAGAGGGAATCGTCGTAGTCTTCTCATTGACCATATCATTTTATACAAACTTTCAATACGTACAACGAATAGTAATGAGATCATTGTTCAAGCATTGCAAGCCAACTACTGTGAGAAAATACGACCCTATTTGTGCTAGGGTACCTTCCTTTTCCTTCTTCTGTTGGCGCAAAAAGTTAGCTAGTTGTTTATTGCGTGAATGAAAGTAAAGTGTTACATGCAATTAGGAGAAGAGTTGAATTCTCCTGTCCTGGCTACCTTCTATACTTTAAGCATCCTTAGTCACTTCAAGCGCAACATATGATCGCATAATCGATATGCTCCTTGATAGCTCCAGAGATAGCTGACCTCTCTTAGCTTTCATCCAGGCCATTTCCCATTCCCTTATCAGGCGAAAACATGGATGCAGGTCCTCAAGGAATAAAGACTTCACCCCATAAGCAAGACACCAGTCTGCAGAGCCCCACGAGCAAGCCAAACTTCAATCGTCTCGAACCAAGTAACCCAGGGTAATTATCTCACCCTTTGACGCACACTATTCAACAAAGCTCCCCACTAACAAGAACATGGATGGTAGAATCATCATTCGCTTTTATAGGAGAGTCATTGAGGGTAGCGTCACTCGACTTGGATCGTACGATGGACAACCAAACTACCATGACATGATTGTTCCGGAGGCGTGCAAAATGGTCAGGAGAGAACTAATTGTCGGCTGCCGCTATCGTAGCTGCTATCTTTATCGCCTGCCAATCGACGTAAGGTTCAAAATCTATGCCGCTTTGTTCGCGCATGACGGAACTGCACTCGAGATCGGGAGGCTCAAACACACAGGAATAGGTAATCTACAAATTCTTAGGACATCGCACCTCATTTACCATGAAGCTTCGATTGCCCTATACCATTCGCTTAGTTACCGCAAACTCTTTCTCCGAGCGTATGGTTCTTTCTCCGCAGACCTTCTCAGACGTCATCCGAAGTCGTTACCGTGCTGTCGCTTTAAGGCATTTGAGGTCAATCTTGAATACCCCTGTCGTAACGAACATCTTAACTGGAGCAGACCACTGGGATCAGCCGTATTTTTGATAGGAGCAGAGAACCCTAGAGTGGCTTTGCATCGTCGTTGGGCATTTGCAGAATTCATTACAGCATTGAAAACGGCCGAGCCCTTGCGTATCTTTTCGCTGACCGTCGTTGTAACAGAGAACTGGAACTTGCCCGGTTTCAATGAGAAAGACTTGGTCAACGCCTTATTTAGCGGCGCGTTCAAATTTCTTGGAAAGCTAACATTGCGCGGTTTTACTGAGGAGGAGAGAAACCGCCTGTGCCATCTTGTACACACTCTAAGGGACCCACCCCTGAAGATTGAGCGGAATAAGACGAAGATACAGGGACCAGGATTCTCGGTTTGGATTTGTGAGTCTCTCTCTTTCTTTTATTAAACCTTAGATGCACTGAAGCACAAGGTCTATTATTGCGAAGAAAACATCCCGATCAGCGTCGGCGGTCTCAAGTCCAAGTCCAACGACCAGAAGCCGCTTTTCATTCGGTGCTTTTGTCACAATGGCGCTAGCTATCTGACGAGCATATAGCTGACCAACTGTGTCATGTCCAGAAACACGGCCTCCCAGAAGTGAAGTCGCAGTGAGACTGCTGATCGGAAGAAGACTGTCATCCGAGTCTGGGAAGGTGTGGGCGCCTTCAGTTCCAGGATTTTTGTTTTCCAATGGTACATGTAACTGTCATCCGTTAGTTGGATATCTGAGAAGAAAACCATTGTGAACTACAAACCCAGTGACCAAGTCGGCCCTTTTGTGAAATTGTTACCAAGATTCTGTCATTGAAGCTCATGCACATTACATCTGTCTGAATACCATTGACCAGTCCAGCAACTTGTTTGGTAGTGGCAGGAAAGGGAAGATTTAATGGCTCCAGAAGTTCACTGAAATTGAAAGGTTCGGCCATGGCTAGGGACTTGCTTCAAGTGATAAAGAAAATGCAGCGAAAGAGGTACTGTTTACTCAGAATACAGTAAGGGAAATACGTTCTGATACATGAAGTTGTAAACAGTTTCCATGGAGGGGAGTGTGCTGAATACGTGGGCGGTGAACATAATCTCACCGCTTTAGGGCAGAATCTCTCCGCCGCCTAATTTTTTCCTGTTCCCTTTCCATTGACTATCACCACAAAGCTCATCAATCTGCTTCTCCTGTGTATTTTTCTTCTTTGTCTGTCGGTGTGAACAAAGGTATCATTATACCCACACCATGGCGAAGTTTGTTCCTCGTCAGAGGAAGCAGAAGCACAGGCAGAAGGAGGCGGCAGGTGCTGCGGTCGATAGCAATGCCGCCGAAGTTTTGCCCATCTCTAAAGAACAGAAGGAAGCCAAAAGGCGAAAGCTGCGTGAGGAATTGAGAGCGCAACACACCAAAATCTCAGCAAAGAAACAAAAACGCTTAGATAAATATATTGTATGTAGACTCTATGCAAGAAATGAATTGTGGAGTATACCGTCCAGTCTAACCATCTCTGCAGGAAAATAAACTCAAGAAAGAAGAAAATGTTGAACTGCTCAAGAAGCTTGAAAAAACAACGTTGGATACTTCTAATTTCGAGAGTTCTAGAGAAATAGGGAAGCGCAAAAGACTTGACGAAAACGGTACCATTGAAGGATCTAGGTATACACATGACAGTGCCCCCCAAGCGGAGCTGTCGGGCGACGAAACAGATGATTCACTCCCTCCTTCGGGGACAGATTTTGCCATCACTAAAGTACAAGGTCCTGCTGAGAAGCCGGCGGAACCTGTCGTGGTTGGTAGCGGGTTAAAGCGCCCTCTCGAACTTGGAGCGGACGGATTTCCCGTTCTCAAAAAGCGCAAACGAGCGCCGAAATTGAAAACGAAGGCCACCAAGATACAAGACTTGCCATGGGAGGGATTTGACTCTGATGAAGGCGAGAATGAGAGCGAGGACGGCAGCGCCTCAGATGATCGGAAACGCAAAGACGAAGAGGTGGAGGTGCTGGATAAGGTGAATAAAGACGAGGATGATGAATCTTCAGAGGACGCTTCTGAGGATGAGCAAAGCGAAAACGAGGATGAGGATAAAGAAGAGGAAGAAGAAAGCGACGATGAAGACGAAGACGAAGACGAAGGCGAAGACGATGAAGAAGACGATGAAGAAGAGGAGGACAGTACCAGCAACCCGCCTCGCCAGTCCGCGTTCAAAGCCTGGGCCAGACAACAAATTAATGAAACAGTCGGTTTCAAGCCCACTACCGTCCCTGTCGTATCAGAAGAGCAACCCTTCGCCCCCAAGTTAAAAGAAAAGCCCGTGCGGAATACTGTTTACGAAGAAGAGCCACTTCCCGCAGAACTTCAAGTTACCAAAGGCAACCCCTACAGAAAGGCGTTCCATGTCCAAGTTGACCGCTCGGAGGATATACAAAACGCACGGTTGGGGTTGCCCGTTGTTGGAGAAGAACAGAAAATTATGGAAGCAATCTACAACAATTCATCTGTCGTTATATGGGGTGCTACTGGTAGCGGTAAAACTACCCAGTTACCACAATTTTTGTTCGAAGCTGGCTTTGGAAGCCCGGATAGCCCCAATCCGGGCATGATAGCGGTAACACAACCTCGCCGAGTTGCTGCCGTCAGTATGGCGAAACGTGTAGGCGATGAGTTGGGTCAGTTCTCCGATCGGGTATCTTATCAGATTCGGTTTGAGAGCACTGCTTCGAAAAAGACCGCAATCAAGTTCATGACTGATGGTATATTGATCCGGGAAATTGCGGATGACTTCTCGCTGAGCAAATACTCTATCATCGTTATCGATGAGGCCCACGAACGAAGTGTTAACACAGATATCCTCATTGGTATGGTGAGCCGTATTGTGGACCTGAGGAAAGCTATGAGTGAAGAAGACCCAGCTGTGAAACCTTTAAAACTGGTGGTTATGTCTGCCACTCTACGTATATCCGACTTCACACAAAATCCCAACCTCTTCCGTCAGGGACCACCGCCTTTGGTTCAGGCAGAAGGTCGCCAGTACCCCGTTACGGTGCATTTTTCCAGACGCACACGCCGCGATTATGTTGAGGAGGCGTACCGGAAAGTCTCGAGAGGTCATCGTAAGCTGCCTCCAGGGGGCATGCTTGTCTTTTTGACAGGACAGAATGAAATCCGAGAACTCTCTAAGCGCTTGAAGCAGGCCTTCAAACCTACGCAGCGGGGTGGAGAAACTGTGGCTAAAGTGCAGATCTCTGCGAACGATGCACCACTGGAGGCAGAAGATCTAGACATTGGGGACGCCGATCTCTCCAATGTTGGCAACGAAGACGACGATAGTGATCTCGAAATTACCGGTCTAGATAACGATGATGATGACGATGATGGCTTTGACCTCGGTGAAGAAGCAATGGGCTCATCTACCCGAGTACATGTCTTACCGTTGTACTCCCAACTTCCCACAGAGGAACAGTTGAGAGTTTTCGAACCACCACCCGAGGGCTCACGTCTTATCATTCTAGCGACTAACGTGGCCGAGACTAGTTTAACAATCCCGGGTATCCGATATGTGTTCGATTGTGGACGGGCCAAGGAGAAACAGTACGATTTAGATACAGGAGTGCAGAAATTCCAGGTCAATTGGATCAGTAAGGCCAGTGCCAATCAAAGAGCAGGACGAGCCGGTAGAACTGGACCCGGCCACTGCTATCGACTCTACTCATCTGCAGTTTACGAAAACGAATTTGCACAGTACACAGATCCAGAGATTCTGCGTACACCAATTGAAGGTGTCGTGCTCCAGATGAAGAGTATGGGCCTTCATAACGTTATAAATTTCCCATTCCCAACGCCTCCTAGTCGGCAGGGCTTGGCGAAAGCCGAGAAGCTCCTCAAAAATCTCGGTGCTCTCTCGTCTGATGGTAAAGTTACGCAAATCGGTAACCGTCTGTCTACATACCCTCTATCCCCTAGGTTCGGTAAGATGTTGCATATTGGACATCAACACGGCTGTATGCCTTACGTTATTGCACTAGTTGCAGCCTTGGCAGTCGGGGACCTTTTTGTTCCAGAAAACCAGGTCGATCCGAGCCCCAAGGGAGATGACAGAGAGAAAGGTGCAGTGTACACGAACTCGGATCGTTTGGAAGACACCGTTCGGGAGCAACGTCACAAGGGCTATGCAAGAGCTCATCGACTCTGGAGTCAACACGACGATACGTCTGATGCGCTAAAGTTCTTATCAGCGATTTGCGCTTACGGATATGCATCAGATGGGGAATCTTTCTGTGAGAAGATGTTCTTACGAGGCAAGGGATTTAAAGAGGCTACGCAACTGCGAAGCCAATTGACAGACATAGTGCGGGCCAATAACCCTGGAATTATTGGAGCGTATCAGCCACGTTTACCGCAACCGTCCGAGAAGCAAATCAAGGCTTTGAAGCAAATTGTCACCGCGGGCTTCATTGACAATGTTGCCATCCGGGCTGATTTGTCTCCGGTACCGCCCGAAATGCATCGTACACCGAAGAGAGCGATCGATGTCCCATACTTGACGCTATTCAAGTCTCGCGAGGGACCAGCCACGGAACTCGATGAGAAGGCTGTTTACGTACATCCGTCATCTATCCTTGCGAGTCTCTCGCCGAAGGAAATGCCGCAATACATCATATACTCCCATCTTCAACAAGCGTACCCATCGCTCGTGTCGACCGATGTGCCCAAAGTCAGAATGTTCCCACTGGTATGCCCTAGCGGCCTGCAACTCTCCGCTATTGCACAGGGCACACCCTTAATAGAGTACGGTAAGCCTATTGGGAAAGCGGAACTGATTGACGGAATCCCGCCACGCAGGGCGTGCTGGGTGATCCCGTCGCTGGTAAGCGAGCCTGGCCGTGGAGGATGGCCTTTGCCAGCCAAGAAGGTGGTTCAAAAGAAAGACCCTAAAGAAGGCTGGATAATTGAAAAATTTGGCGCTTAACTGTATATAATATGAGAAAAGTTACTGTAACGACTTTATACAAAAGCTATGAATACCATAACCATGGTCATCATGAGACATGCTCTGTTACTTCATTCCGTATGATCCCAAATCCTGTCTGTCATATACAAGAATCAAGTGCAGTAACTCCGCAACGCCAACGTCCCAACTCAATACTATCACGGAACAAACAAAAACTAGCAAGAATCCAAGAGAACAAATCGAAGCTCAAGGACGATCCCGCTCCCTCTCCCGCTTCTTCTCCTCCCAATCCCGACGCCCACTCGAGATCTCCCCGGTCTCCTTATCCTCCTTGATGCCCAACGCCTTCCGTAACCGCTCACTCTCCTCAATCTTCGCCTCAGCAAGCTCGTGAACCTGATACGACTTGAACTGCCTCCTATCCCTCGGCGGCAAATCCCGCGCAGACCGACCGCCCCTCCGCTCCCCCTCCTTACCCTTCCTCTCCTCTTCCTCCTCCATCTCCTTCACCAACTTCTCCCTCAAAGCATCACACCGCTCGTCAATCTCCTCATCCGACAGCACCTTCCCCTCCGCCTCCTCCCCGTCTTCCTTATCCCCCTTCTTCTTCCGCTCCGCCATCTCCTCCTCAATCCGCTCGTTCTCCTCCTCCAGCCGTTCCCTCTCCTCCATGACCTTCACCTCGATCGCCCGCCGCCGATCATGCTCGAGGATCTGCTTGTCAGGCAGCCGCTGCTTGAAGGGCCGTCCTGCGTCGCTGTTCGCGCCAACGGGTGGATACGGCGCGCCGTAGCCTGCGTTGCGCGGTTTCATGAACGCCCAGTTCTTCTGGACGTAGCCTGATGTGCCGCTTCCGCGGGGAGTATTGAGACCGACGTTTGAAGACATTGTGGGGGTTTTTTTTTTTATTTCGGTTTGGTTGTTTGTAAAATGTCTGAAGTTTGGAGGCCGTGGTGGGGTACGTAGATGGCTCGTTTTCCGTCGTCGACTGTGGG